CTTATCATATGTATGATTGAATTTCCTTCAATTTGTCCAGAGTGTACAAATAAAAATCCTCACTTTTAAATTAAATTTTAACATCCTCATTAGTAAGTTCTGTGCTAATTAACTTACAGCTTGTCAGTTATCATCAAAACTACATGTGAAAGACATTGTGAGCAGATTATGGATCTCTGAATTAGCATCAAAGGCTTTTTAAAAATGAACTCATTATACTAAAAGAAATATTATAGAGTAAACATTAAGTGCATTAAGATAGTGTCGAGAACCTACACAGATATTCTGTGTTATTTCAGATGTTGTGAAGATGAATACCTTTTTCACTAAGGGAATTCAGCTGTTGTCCTCAATTACGATTTCAGAGTTAATCATTATAAAGAGGATTAACTTTGAGATAGCCATCTGATTTATTTTTACTGTTATGAATAACTTCAGGAGATACTTTTATAAGTTTCAAAAACTTACAAAAGAAAAAATGGAAATAGCACATGCACTTATATGGCCTCAAAAACACAAAGAGAAGTAATCAGATTATAAAAATTAATAGCAGTACAACTAATTACTTGAAAACTGACAATCAAGCTTTTTTAAACTTGAAAATTACTACCATACCTTAAAACTCCTATTTTCCTAAGTGTACACTTTAAAAAAACATTACTATAGGGACCAGCAGTTGGTGTAATGGCTATGTTGCTGGACTCCCATGTAGTCGACTGCGGTTCGAGTCCAGGCCCCAGCGGCTTAAACTCATGCCAGACACGTGTGCGTGCGTGTCCAAGATCCCAAGAAGAGAATGGAGGAGAAGGAACTGCAGCATGGCCCTTCCCTCCGGTGTTGATTTCTCGCTTTCTGTCTCTGTCTTTCTGGCAAGTGTGCTCGCCCTATGGCAAAAACCTCTTAAAAAAAAAAAACCCAAAACAACAACAAAAAAACATTACTACAAATTATATCCTAAATGAAGTGGTAGTGGATTAGTTCAGCCTCCCGTCCATGTTGTTTTACTAATAAGAACAGCTTTATAAACTAAAAGTCATTAATATAACATGATCACTACATTACTGCCTAACTATGTTCGTTGACTCCTGGTAATAATTAAGTCCACAAGTGACAAAGTGTACAAATGACTACAACCATGATATCATTACAAAATTAATACAGCTTTGTAACTATCTCCTATATGAAGGAACATTACTGGCACCTCAGAAATGCTTCTCAAGCTCCTTTATTGTGTCAACCACTCTGCAAAGGTAGAATTCCAACTTTTAACAGCATAAATTTTGTGGTTTTTAAATTTTATATAAATGAAATCATATACATTTTATGTCTGGCTTCTGTCACTAAACATATTTGTGCAATTAACAATGGATAAATTCATTTTTAAAAGGAAGAAGACAGGGCCAGTCAATGGCATGTTTGTTAAAGTGGCTGGATCCTACATGGCCAAATGCAGTTTGAGTCTGGGACCTGGTGGCTTAAAAAACATGCTGGACACATGTGCATGTGTGCCCAAAATCTCAAAAGGAAGAAGAAATGGAAGAGAAGGAATTGCACTGTGATCATTCCCAGGCAGAGGATGCTTTCTAATTTTCCCACTCTGTCTCACTCCAGCAAGCACACACACCCTCTGGCAAAATAAATAAATAAACAATTAAAAATGAAAAGGCACATGAGAAAATGTGATAGTCCAGCAAAATTTCTACTTTTACAACCTTAACTCATCCTCCTAACAGCAACATTTATGAAAAATATCTCCATCAAATTCTCATTAAAATTCCTTAACTCAAGTATGGCTTTCAATACATAACACTTTTTAAAGGCTGTAGACAGGGAAAAAAAAAAACTGTATATTTTAAAGTATTATAGACATTTCCCCAGGATATATTACCAAAGAAGGAAAAAACTTATTTTGAACCATTTCAAGCTTCGAAACTTAAAGAACCAATGGGGGAAAAAACAAACAAGACACAACAACATACAGGATACTTTAGAATACACAGATACAGACACACACACACACACACACACTCTCACACAATCTAGGCCAAAGTCGATTCCCAGCTGTGTTCAGTTTATCTGTTCCCCCCGTGTTGTTTCTGATAACTTTACACAGACTCCAGATGCTGTGAATATGTATGAGCGATGTGGGGAGCAGAGGGAAAGAAAATCTGGCAGGTCAAATTAGTGTTTGACATCAAAATTAGATGTCTCAGCAAACAGGAAAAAATATTTAACAAATTAAAACATTTAAGATAAGATAACCAGATTTAATAAAAACACTAACATTTGGAAATGAAATATATTGATAAATGTTCTAAGTCACACTACTTTTTAAAGTCTGGTTATCTATCACCCATATTCATGTGATGCCTGTTAACTGTAATACATTTCTTATCCCTTTTTTTAAAGTTTACTTATTTCTCCATGAGAGAAGGAGCCAGAGACAAAGAGAGAGAGGCACTCCCAAAAGGATCTTCTGGTTGTGATCCTGCCCGGAGCCTCAGCCATCCTAGATCACTGGTACATAAGCATACTGAGAGCACCCAAGGAAATCTCAAGAATTACACCTTCTCACGTTGCCCCAGCATGGCAGCACACTGTGTTACTACTGTGCCACTGCAGCTGGCCAAAAGCAAAACATTTTCATAGCATTTCCCTATTGTACCCTGAAAGAACAGCTAAAACTAAAATACATCTGAAACCTTACCTGGTTAGCAATTGTAACTCTTAAGGTGTCAAGCTTCAATTCGTTGAATATAACAAACTTCTTCTTAACTCAAGCTCTTGTTAATTCTGGCAGATATAATCTGTTCCAAGTATGCTTTCTTTTCTAAAAAAAAAAAAAAAAAAAAAAAGTAAATTATTTTGAGAATTTACTAGAAAAATTTATACCAAAATCTCTAAAAGAGACAAAACTCCTAAAAACAAAATAGAAATCAACATAGATTTTATTTTGCAATCCAGAGGGTTTTTGTTTGTTTTTATATCTATTATGCCATGAATTCACAGGGAATAGGTTCCAGAAGCTCAGGCTTTTTTCCACTGGCTCTAACAAAGTGTGCTTCTCTGGGTGGAGCAGGATAGCACTTCAGTTGAACCCAGGTATCTTTGGCTTCCTTCATTTCTGGTCACTTTCCTTCACAAGTTTTATGAAGCTATCTGCTCTCGGAATGCTCACTATGCTTAATAAGCACATTAATTCTCTTGGCGAGAATCCTGCCCTTAACTTGTTTACAACAATGCCAATAGCATGTTGGGTAACACTAGACTCTTGCAGTTTTGTCATGGTAACATCTGTGGGTGATTCCTTTTTTAAACAGTACTCAATCTATTGATATCTACAATATCACCTTTTTTAGAGATTCACATGAGTGTGGCCAAAGGAATGACTCCATGTTTTCTAAAAGGCCTAGAGAACACATATGAGGTAGCTCTCTTCTTTCCCTTTGTGTTTATCACGTTGGTAAATTACTGGGAGATAGTGGTTCCAGCTAAAGGAAGTTAGTGTAGATTTTGAATCATCATTTTCAGAGATAATGGAATGATTTCCATCAAGAAAGTTATAGAGCATGGTGATTAATCCTGTATCCACAATTTATACACGTTTCTTTTCTGAGCACTGACTTTGAGGATTGACATTTTATGACTCAGTTTTATTTATTTATTTATTTCTGGAGAGATTTCTGCTACAGGGCATGTGAGCTCGCTGGAGAGACAGAGATACAAAGCAAGAAATCACTCTCCCCCCAGGGGAAAATGGCCTTTAATTCACCTTTTTGTGTTCTTCATTTGCCCATTTGTGAACTCTATCAGAATTTTGAGAATTCAAAATTTCACTCCTACCCATAATAGCAATGGGTGGAAAACTTAGAAAAGCTTCGTAATAATTAAAGAACCACAGGGTAAATGCAAACAGATAACAGCATTCTAATTTATTTTATTTTTAAGGTATTATTTATTTGTTCATCTATTATTATTTTTCAATTTGACCAGAGAGAGAGAGAGAGAAAGGGAAAGTGAGAAAGCAAGCCACCAGGCCCGGGACTCAAACCACGTCAGCTACGGGAGTACAACGCCCTTAACCACCATGCCACCTGCCGGCCCCCAGCATTCTAGTTTCTAATGACAATAACAGTGATGGTACAAGTACTTTGATATAACTGACATTCAAAACAGGATCATTATTGTTATAGGGGGCTGTCTTGTATATTTTACGATACTTAGAAGCAACACTGACCGCTATCCAATAGAAATCAGTAACACCTACCCAGTTGTAGTAATAAAAAATGTCTTTTCTGGTTACCAGGTGGCATAGTGGTTAAGGTGCTGGACACCCACATGGTCAACCACTGTCCAAGGCTCAGACCCAGTGGCTTGAACCTCATGCCAGGCATGAGTTCCCAAAATTCTGAGAAGAAAATGGAGAAGGGATTGCAGCCTGGCCATGGGACAGGAAGGAAGTAATTCTCACTTTCTATCTCTCTCTCTCTTTCTGGTGAGCACAAACTCCTTGTAGCAAAAATCTCTCTGAAAAAAATTCATGGGAAATATATATTATGAAATATATTTTCAACATTTTTTGCACCAAAATAAACATATACTTTAATTCCATTTTCCAGGAACTTTTTTGAAGCACCCACATATATACCCAAAGAACTGAAAACAGGTATTCAAAAACAGTACATGTACATGCATGTTCATAGTCACAACAGTCAAGAGGTGGAAACAGGGGCCATCAGATGGTCTGATGGTTAAGATGCTGGACACCCACATCACTGACAGGAGTCTGAGTGCCAAACCCAGTGGCATGAAAATCCCGTAGGTGTGTACCCAAAATCCTGAGAAGAAAATGGAAGAGAAGGGATTGTGGCATGGCCGTCTCCTCAGGGGGTGATTTCTCACTCTCTCTCTCTTTGAATGGATAAACAAATTCAGCTATGTACATACAATGGATTATTAGTCACCTATAAAAAGAATGAACAATTTGGCTGAACTTCAAAACATTGTAATGTGAAAGAAGCCATGCATGGGGACTAGCAGGTGGTGTGTAGTGGCTAAGGTGCTGGACACTCCCACATGGCCAACCATGGTTTGAGTCCTGGACCTGGTGGCTTGCTTTCTCACTCTCTCACTCTCTCTTTCTCTCTCTGTGTCTCTCTCTGGTCAAATTAAAATAAATGAATGAATATGCTTTGTAATGATGGAAATTTTCTGGAACTGGACTGAAATAGTGATTACAACACTGCTACACTGAACTGTTCACTTCTTAAAAATATTTAATTTTGCTATTATTATTATTATTTAATTTAACCAGAGAGAGAGAGAGGGAGAGAAAAAGGGAAAGTGAGAAAGTAAGCTGCCAAGACTCAAACCATGGTCTGCCATGTGGGATCCAGCACCTTAACCACCATGCTACCTGCCAATACCAAACTGTTCACTTTTAAATGATTAATTTTATGTGAATTTCCCTTCAATAATATTAAAAAAAAAAAAAAAACAGGTCTTCTCATGTCACAATCCCCCTGCCTCAGCTGCCCAGCTGGGACTACTAAACAGGGTCTACCTATGTTTCTCAGGCCAGGGTAGAGCTCACTACCCACCTACCGCAGCCTCCTCAAGTCACTGCAATTATAGTCCACAAACCTGGCCTTTAGGTTGGACAAAAAAATCAAACTCAGGCCTTCCATGTGTCCTACCTGTGGAGCACCAAGACTTAGAAGAATGCTCCACCACTGCTGGACCAATTAAAAAAAATTTTTTTTTTGCTATACGGTACATGTGCTTGCCAGAGACAGAGAGAAAATTAGAAATTATCCCCCAGAGGAATAGCCACACCACAATCCATTCTCTCAGAATTTGGGGACACATGCACAAATGCCTGGAGTGATTTTCAAGCTGCAGGGTCCAGAACTCAAATTGCAGAGTCAGTCATTTAGGATCCAGCACCTTAACCTCCCTAGTACATTAACCTCCATGTCACCTGCTGCCACAGGGTGCTGATTATTTTTAATAAAAATTATGAGTGTATGATATTTCTAACAATATTCCTAAGACCCCACTTCCACTACCACAACCAGGTCTAGGTTCCTGGGGTCTCTTCCCTGGACTATTGCAAAGCCCCCTTCCTGGTCCAGTCACACTTGCTCTGTCCCCTCCAACCCACTGGCTACTCGAAGCCAGACAATCCCTCGGAAATGCAAATCTGTCATGCCCACTGTTTCCATTGCTGACACAAAGCAACACCGATAATGTGGCCCTTAAGGCCTGTGTGGTCTGACTACCCATGTCTCCCCTTCTCCTCCCCAGGTCTCAGCAACGCCTACCTCTTTGTCCCCTACATCTTTTTTTCAGTTCTTTGTGTTCACCATACTCCCTCCTACTGCAGGACTCATGAAGGCTATTCCCGCTGTCTGTAACACTCTTCCCTTCTCCCCTTATCTCCTTCACTTTTACTCACCCTTCGGATTTCAGATCCAGTGTCCCTCCTCTGGGCAGCCCCTCCTGTCCTGCTGCAGCACGACGCCCCTCTCATTCCTTGCCCCTGTCACTGTCACATTTATCTGCGTGATTATATGAATGCTTTCAGCCTCCTGCACGGAACATAAACTCCTCTGGGGTGCAGACCATGTCTGCTTTGGCTGTTCTCTGTAACCCCAGTACCTGGCATTTACTATTGGGTCATAGGAAAAGTCGTGATACATTTTTTCGTTTTTTTAAAAAGAATTATTTATTTAATTTTATTTATTCATTCATTTATTTTAATTTGACCAGACAGAGAAAAGGAGAGAGAGAGAAAGTGAGAAAGTAAGCCACCAGGTCCGGGACTCAAACCACGTGGTTAACCAGCTCCTTAACCACCGTGCCACCTGCTGGTCCCCAGTCATGATACATTTTTGTATAGAAAAACACATCACAACTTTTCCAACGACACAATAGATGCTCAGTAAGTATTTCTGAATGAATGAACACAAAAAATATTTTGAACGACAGTATAAAATATTATCGGCACTTTTGAAGAAAAGGTGGCTGAATTCTCTTTAAGGAAGACTATATATCCTATGTCTCAGACTAGCTTGTAGAGATGCACTATGAGATGCAGGACATGGAGGTCAGCTGTTGGTACAGTGGTTAAGGTGTTGGAATCCCACATGGTTGACTGTGGTTTGAGTCCTGGACCTGGAGGCTTGCTCTCGCACTTTCTCTCTCTCTGTGTTTCTTTCTCTGGGTCAAAACAAAAAATAATAAAAATAGATAAAATTTAAAAATTAAAACAGGATGCAGGGCAGGGTTGAGTAGGTGGCATGTGGCCCCTATGGCAGATTTTCCCCCAAAAGAAGACTAGAAAGCCAGTACCTGGGACCGGCAGGTGGCATGGGGGCTAAGGTGCTGGACACTCCCACATGGCCAACCATGGTTTGAGTCCTGGACCTGGTGGCTTGCTTTCTCACTCTCTCACTCTCTCTTTCTCTCTCTGTGTCTCTCTCTGGTCAAATTAAAATAAATGAATGAATATGCTTTGTAATGATGGAAATTTTCTGGAACTGGACTGAAATAGTGATTACAACACTGCTACACTGAACTGTTCACTTCTTAAAAATATTTAATTTTGCTATTATTATTATTATTTAATTTAACCAGAGAGAGAGAGAGGGAGAGAAAAAGGGAAAGTGAGAAAGTAAGCTGCCAAGACTCAAACCATGGTCTGCCATGTGGGATCCAGCACCTTAACCACCATGCTACCTGCCAATACCAAACTGTTCACTTTTAAATGATTAATTTTATGTGAATTTCCCTTCAATAATATTAAAAAAAAAAAAAAACAGGTCTTCT